ATCTCAACATGGTACTATTCACTTGCATCGTAACTTTGATACAAGTGATCTTTTTGAAGCTCTTGAGAGGGCTACTTCCTTTTCTGTGTGGAAGCATAAATCTGAATGAAAACCTTTAAAGAAGTCTCATATCCTTTGGATGGCAGCCATGTGTAGAATTCAATCTGTGGTATCCCTCCTCAAGGATATCCTTCCCATGACCTGCCAAACTGTCTCCTCTGACGGTAGAGGATATTTAAAAAATCCTTCATAAAATTTCCTAATTAATAACTTTGTGTGATGTGGATGTGTCAAGATCTGGGCTGCTGACTGAAAGGCTTTATTTTCAAACCTCACATGAACTGTATATCAGCACTGTGACTTTGAACAGGGCACCTAAAGAGATGGTTCAAAAATTACATTTCACTCAAATTAAATTTGGATCTGTTCATCATACAAGGCTATCGCATGGCTTCAAAATACAAAAGACTTTAGTGTCATGTGGACCACTTTTATGATTCCACTGGTCCCTATCAACTTTTATTGAATGGAAAAGAGCAGCATGGACATTTTGCTAAATCACTTCACATTCAGGTTCTGTATGTTTGTTAACATTAGGTAATGCAATAACTAACATTTATACATGCACTACCTTAAAAAGGGTTAGTACGATTTCTTAATGTTTTTGAAAAAAGCCTCTTCTGCTCACCAAGGCTGCATTTACTTGATAAAAAATATAGTAAAAACAGTAATATTGTGAAATATCACTAAAACATTGTTTTCTATTTCAACATATAATTTAAAATATATTCCTTTATTCCTGTGATGCAAAGCTACATTTTCAGCATCATTACTCCAGTCTTCAGCGTCACATGATCCCTCAGATTCCAGATTTTCAAATAGTTGTATCTCGGCCAAAGATTGTCCTAACAAACCATACATCAATGGAAAGCTTATTTATTCAGCTTTCAGATGATGTATAAATCTCAGTTTCAAAAAAATTGACCCTTATGACTAATATGATGATTTGCTGCTCAAGAAACATTAATTATTATTATTACTATGAATGTTGAAAACAGTTATTCTGCTTACTATTTTTGCTAGGGGAAATTGTGATACATACTGTTCCGGATTCTTTGATAAAAAGATAAAAAATACAAAATAATATATATTGTAAATATTATTTTTTTGTAACATTACAAATGCGTTTACTGGCACTTTTGATCAATTTAATCCATACTTGCTGAATAAAAATATGAATTTCTTACAAAAAAAAAATAATAAGACCATTCAACTTGGTGGTTGAATGGTACTGTATTTTTTGCAAGTTGTGTGAATGAAAAAGGATAACGTGTTACCGATAACTCTTTTTGCATTACACAAAAATGCAAACATATGTTTGAAGTGACATGAAGGTGAACAGATTACACAAATAGTGATTTATTTATTTTTTTTGTGAGTGTGAACTTACTCCAGAGTTCTGTGTACTGTTAGTCGCTTTAGTTAAAAATGTTAATAGAATATGACTGTATATAATATAACTGTAAATATCTCATCACATCTACATTATGCATTGAACTACAGCTGCCCAGCATCTTACACACATGCTGGCAGTTTATGAAGTGCTGCAAAACACACAGCTGGCCTTGTGCTGTTCTTCCCATGGTTCTCCTGGGGATATCCGACATGTGCAGCCTTGTGCAGTGTCCGTACATGCACAGCCTAGCCCTAGAGAGAAACCAGCATGAAGTCTCGCCCCAAAACATGCTTCAGTGATTGACAGGTGCTATAATGTTTAAGATGTGACAGTAAAGCTGAAGGGAATTAAATGCTGAGGATGTAACATCAGTGCACTTTCAAACTAACCTTAGGCCTCTGCAACATAAACCCAGGCTGTGGCATTAGCTTCTCAGGAAGCACTGCTGCAGGGGTTGGAGTCAAATGACAGGGGTGTAGAAGATAATTACCACAATCTCACAATGCAGTGTGCAGACCCAGGGCTGATGGCTCTCATGCAGTCGGTAATCAGCCTGTCGTGTGATTTAGTGGCCAGATTAATGAGATGATGGTGGATACTGATACAGACATTAAGCAGTCACGGTGGTTTGTTCCGGCTCAAGGACTGATGGGAGGTTTTCATGTGTGTCCCCTCAGGCCTCTCCAGCGGTCTATCACACAGCACAACTGCGTCTTCTCTTTTCTGACTCCTGCGTCAAACATAATCGCTGCCTTTCAGAATTAGCCAGTTTGGGTTCTGACATGCTTGAATGTCAGGATTCGATTTCTGGAATGGGTCTGTTCGGATATTGAACCTGACAGGTGGTTCCTTTCTGTGGTGGGGCTGGTCAATATATAGCAAATCATTTTTGGAATATTTGCGGTAAGTTTTTGACTTCTTTCATTTAAAAAAATTTGAATATTGCAATGATCTTAATGCAGTTTTTAGTATGTCAGTTCAGTTTTTATTTTGAAGTTGGCAACTTAGCATGAAATGAAAATTTACCATCTATTCTCTAAATGCATTTTATTGAACTTTTTTTATGAATGATTCGTTCACAACTGTCATTCAGATGTGCCTCCATTATTATTAATTGCAGTGTCCACATCTGAAAATCCAATCAACAACCGATGGACACTACCAAAACCCTGCATAAGTCGTTGCACTCAGATATATGTTCATTACAATACAGAAGAAAATATGGAAGAAATTTGTTGCGAATTTATAGACTATATGCTTGGCAAGTTTTCTTGCAGCTACACTGAACAAAAAAATGGGCAGTAAAAAGTTTTTACTCAGAAATTGCTGGTAAATAATTAAAAAGGAATGGCAAGTAACACATTGATTTAAACATTAAATTTTGACGTAGACTGAAATAGTATTTTCTTCTAATATATACTCCAATAATCTTTGAAAAATCACTTTTTACAGTGTTTGAGTAAGTTCAAAACAGATATTCGTTTGCATCATCATTAAAATTGTGAATTACAAAAGTCTCTGTGTGGCATTTACACAATTCTTTAATGTGTTGGTGTTTATTGCTATATATTATATAAAACAATAAAATAAAATAACATTTATTAATATCAATACTACTTTATCACTATTTTTTCATTCACTTAAATCTACTTTGCACTGGCTATTTGGACCTACTTTCGAAATTACATGCCACTCTAAAAACATTCAGGTGACGTGTTACCACAACTTAAATAAATGCATGGATTCAAATTAAAAACCTTTACATCAACTTTGATGTAATTATTGTCTAATTTAAACTGTTTCTGCGTTGTAGGGATAGTTCACTTAAAAATGAAAATTAGCCCATGATTTGCTCACTCTCAAGCCATCCTAGGTGTATAAGACTTTCTTCTTTCAGACGAATATAACAGGGGGGTGAATAAAGACCTTCTGAAGCGAATCGATATGTTTGTGTAAGAAAATATCCATATTTAAAACTTTATAAATTGTAATTTCCAGCTTCTCCTAACTGTTGTATGCACGTTCATGAGAGAGTGGCGTTCCAGCGGATGACATAGGATGTAGGCGTAACACAAATTAGAAGTACAAAATGAGGATTTGTTAGTGTTACAGGAACTTAATTGGTTGTTGGTTGAACATAATTTCATTAGAAGTTGTCATAACTCAAAACGATTTATGCAAACTGTTCCGTTCATTTTTTGTTGTAACAAAATTCTGAGACTGATTAAATTTCGACCTATAGAGCCCAGCCCTTGCCTGTGGTGGAAAACCATTGGCATGGCCCGACAGGGGTGTCCTCAAAGCTGGGGCTTTGCCCCTGTCTGCCCTGTAATCTCACAGTCATCACACGGCACACATACTGAAAGGCCAGTGATGATATCAGTCCAAATTCCTCTTCAGCGGGCAGAAACTTTCTCATGGACAAGGAGAGTGTTTAACTTTCCACCATGAGCTGCAGACGCTGGGTTCTTTCTTGTCTGGTGCTGCTGATAAGGAACTATTTTGATGAGTTTAAAGTTTAAACTTTCACTCGGGTTTTGCTAGATTCAAGATTTATGAACTTCTGTTTGACTGTGTGTTTCTGTGATTTATATTTTTCACAGTAGCTTCCATCATCACTCCATCATGGGAGCTTAAAAGAGTGGTGTTAAATCTGTTATGTTAAGAGTAACCAAGAACAGATCTGGAGGCCTTCCCGAGGGGTGAATGTATATCCCAGAATGACTACCTTTGCCTCCATGTCACTCCCTAGACAGAGCAAGGGCTTTTTAAATAAAAAATGAGTTGCAGAAGAATATCGAGTGTTTGTAACTGTGCCTCTGCTGAATCAACTGCACCAAAGCAAAAGAAATGAAATTTTCATCTGAGTTTGAAGTCAGAATTGAATGTGATGAGATATGTGAAATAATGCGAAGACAATAAACTTGTCTTTCTATTGTTTTGTCTTCACTGGATGCATGCGAAAGCAAAAACACAGATGGACCATTGTAGTCATGTATAATTGACTCTTATGAGCTATTAGTCAGTCAAAAAGACCCACAAACTGACAAGTTATTGTATGAGTCAGTCTTACTCATGAATTACTTAAGTCCATCAGTGCAGTTATTGATTTAACATCTGACTCATTTATGACGTTGGATGTTTACTGTATATGACAATTTTGAAGATAGTCATAAAAAAAGTTGTACAAATATGTATATATATATATATATACATACATATACACAATTCTGTAGAAAAGTTGTTTAATTTTTGCTTAATATTTGCTTAATTGTATTTTTTAACAATCAGGAGTCATTAGGAGTCATTCTCTGCAGTATTTATAAATATTCAACTATTTTACTCTTTTAAATAAATTTTTAAACAATAAATAATATCTTAAGTCATATTAAATTATATGTTTCACTTTACATTTACACATTAGGCAGATGCTTTTATCCAAAGTAACTTACATCAACTGAACTGTAGTAGAAATGCTCAGGCATTAAGATAAACCCCAAACCAGATCACTTAAATGAGACAAAAACAATTTTTCTTCAATAACAAACCTGAAGTTGATATAAAAAACTGATAGCATGAAGACCTGACCTGACCTCGGCCCAAAACGCACAAACAGTCTCAGGTTGGATAGATCTCTATTCTGTAGAAATGCAGGCTGCACTGAACTGACATCTTGACAAGCAGTATTCAGTGAATGGAAGAAAGCAGAAAGAGTGTCGGTTTAGTGCTCTTCAGCTGCTGGTTGCATGCTGCAGTGATCTGGAAAACACTCTGCTCAGGCTGTGTGGGAATATGCAGCGGGAAGACACACTGATGATGGCCTCTCACAAAATTCCTGCTTCGCCACAAAGCAGCACTTTTAATGAGAGGCTAGTGTAAAGCCAGTGGCTTATAGGCTTAATCTATTGACAATAAACTTTTCCACCCCCACAGTACAAATCTCATCTTATCGATGAGTCTCATCTTATCTTATCGCAAAATCAACAGATAAACACTCGGAAACACATCTATGATCGACAGAGCCTTCTGGAAATCGGCAGTGAGTACAAACAACAGCTTTCGCCGGTGACTACTGAGAAGCTACGAGGCCTCTGTCTGCTGCTGAAGCCGAACCCTTACATCCCCCCGTGTGCAAACGGTAAGGACGCGCTTCGCGAGCTGTACATCGCCTTCAGCGAACAACAAACCAATAACCCTGACGTCTTTTTCATAATAGCCGGTGACTTCAACCACGCAAACTTAAAGACAGTGTTGCCAAAGTTCTACCAACATGTTAGTCACCAAGACCATCACCACACTTGCAAACCAAAAGCCGTGGATGACAGCAGAGGTTCGTGGGCTGCTAAAGACCAGAGATGAAGCATTCAGATCAGGAGATAAAGCAGCCCTCAAAACAGCAAGAGCCAATCTGTCCTGACTTTGTTCATCGAAAAGAATCAAAAAAGAAAAACACTTCCACACTTTCCTCACTTTATTACGCAGCACAACAATTTTTAAATAATTATAAGAGTAAATATTCCTTGAGCAGCAAATCATCATATTAGAATGATTTCTGAAGGATCATGTGAGACTGAAGACTGGAGTAATGATGCTGAAAATTCAGATTTACATCACAGGAATAAATTACATTTTAAAATATATTCAAATAGAAAACAGCTTATTTCAAATTGTAATACTATTTCACAATATTACAGATTTTACTGTATTTTTTATTAAATAAATGCAGCATAATATACTTCTTTTAAAGAAAAAAGTGTATAGTGTATATTATAAATAATTACAATACATTTAAATCTAAATATAATAATTAAAAACAAATTATTTTTAAGCAAGCTTGGTGTTACTGAAGTATTAAATGTACATTTTTATGTGACGTATAAATGTGTTACTAAAAATAGCTTCTGTTGTTGTGTGGAGCTCATGACAATATTGGCAAGAATTCTATCAGAAAAAAATCCTTATTGTTGAGCCATGAGGCAGTATACAGCATATATTGTGCAGTATGCAGTGAGCAATGCGCTAGTGTCCCATTCCCTACATTAGTCATGAACCTTATCAGCACAACAAAGCCTCAACTTTGAAGAGTAACTGTTTGAATTTGGGATTTCCTGGCACACTGTGCAGTTCTTTTGAGAATCCACCTCTCTCTTCATCTGGTTTTCTCTCTCTCTGTAGCTGGCAGGTCTAGGGAGAGGCAGGCAGCATGGCTGAACCCAGACGCGACAGCACCAGCAGCCTGCAACGCAAGAAGCCGCCATGGCTAAAACTGGACATTCCCACCGCTCAGGTGTCCGTGGACGAAGCTCCAGCTTTTGTTCAGGTACAAGCACCGTTATCTACCTCATCTTAAGTGCATAGTGTACCTCTGGTTTCCAATCCTGTCCATGTCTCTCTTTTGCAGCCCGTGAAGAGGCATGGTTTCCATCGCAGCGTCAGTATGCCTGTGGAAACATCTCATCTCCCCTCTCCTCCACATGACCTCTTTGACCCCCGGCGAGCTGCTTTCCAGCGTCAGTCTTCAATCACACAAACCATCAAGAGGTAGGAGAGGCATTACATGTGGCTGTTACTCACATCTGCTCTTAAAAAGCCATTAGGTTTGAGATTCACATCTTTTCCAAAGGTCGAACTCTGTTCCGAAACCTAGTAAGCTGTCTCAATAGACATTTTAAAGCAAGACTGGTCTAAACGGTAGTACAAGACAGCTTGTTTTGGCAGCATTGTGTGTGTCCTTTGAGAAGTCAATCACATAATGCAATGAGACAACCTCACTAAATGCTGGACGAAGTGAGAAAAATGTCATAATATTTATTAATATATATTTAATTCATTAAATTTCACAGAATGTCTGTAAAAACAGTTTTTTCCCTAATATTTGTCTGCTATTATGTTTATGCTTTTAGAGTGACAACCCTTACGAAAATTAACCACGGTTTCTATCTGAGTTAGGATGCTACTTTAAAGGTGTAATTCACCCAAAAATGAAAATTCTGTCATTAATTACTCACCCTCATGTCGTTCCAAACCAGCAAGACCTTCGTTCAACTTCAGAACACAAATTAAGATATTTTTGATGAAATCCAAGAGCTTTCTGACCATAAGGACATTGGTAAAATAGTCCATTTGACTATTGATTCAACCTTAATTTTATGAAGCTACAAGAATATTTTTTGTGCGCAAAGAAAACGACTTTATTCAACAATTTATTCTCTTCCGTGTCAGTCTTTGTCAAATCTTTGCGCACAAAAAGTATTCTCGTAGCTTCATAAATTTACAGTTGAACAACTGATGTCACATGGTCTATTTTAACAATGTTCTTACTACCTTTCTGGGCCTTGAACAAGTCAGTTGTGTTGCTGTCTATGCAGGGTCAGAAAGCTCTCGAATTTCATCAAAAATATCTTAATTTGTGTTCAGAAGATGAAAGAAGGTCTTACGGGTTTGGAACGACATGAGGTTGAGAAATTAATGACAGAATTTTCATTTTGGGGTGAACTATCCATTTAAGATACATTAGCAAAATTTTGGTGAAATTTCACAAGCAAAAAACAGGTCTGTTGTCTATTATCAATATAGAGAACTATGAAGCACAGCTGAAACAAACCAAACAACTTTTTGTTACTCAACTCAGCGATCTGCATGACCGACTTGCACGCATTGCCAAATATGTGTGTGAAATTCCCAATAACATGTATTCCTATTGAAATGACTAGATTTCGTATATGTAAAAATTCGTCAAACAACGGTGAATGTAACCAATTCTTTAGAATGCAGCTCACTGCATTTTGGAACAAAGCTAAATGACTACACCAGCATTCATTTCATAGCATTTTAATCTTGTTGTAGGAGTTTTAATTGGATGAATGCGCATTAATGTAGCCCATGATCCTGCATACTTTGTTCTCGATCTTGCATCTGTGAATCGAGTGTGATTCTGCAGTCAACACTGTAGCACCTTACTGGTTGCAAGCCAATGTTGCCAGGCTTTTTTATGATTTGTTTGCTGAGATTGTTTTGGGTTGAGCTGTAATAGGAATGTGCATGTGATTCCTGTGCCGGAGGGTTTGAAATTCCTCATTTCATGGCTCCATAAACCAAATCTGAAAATAACTAGTGTTTGTGGGCCTGTTTACATGGTTTCTGTGTAGACGACTTGTTTTGTGTATGTCTGTGCATCCTTTTGTGTATGTGTGACTAGCACATGTGTCTCACTCATATGCTACTCATTAACTCTTTACACTAGTTTGCTGATAATGACCTAACCCTTCTGCTGGAATACTCTGCTTCTGCTCATCTTGCTAATCTTGCTCTCTGGCTCTTGTTGATCTGTTTTCCAGTTCTTCTCCTTCACTCTTTTCTTTTTATCTTTTTCTCTTCTGCTTCTTTTCCTCGTCCTGTTCTTCCTCTCCTGCCGCCCTCCATCCTCCCGGGCCGTCCACAGCAGCAGGAAGGTGCACTTTGAGAGGATTAACACTGTGCCCATTAAGGGTCACCGTGCAGGGCGGCACGGTTTCAGACGGCATCAGTCCCTCTCCAGAACCCTGCTCAGGTACAGCGGAGCGCAGGAGGCCTGGCGAGGGAGCTCTCACACACAACAAACACACAAGGGAACCTGTTCACGTGGCACTGTACCATCTCTCGCTCAGTCAGCTTCAATGTTACAGTTGTAATAGTAGTTGTTCCCATGTGAAAGACCATCCATTGCCATTTACAGTATACATACTCACAGGAAAATAAGGCACACAAGCTGCCACTAACTAATCCTATATGCTATTTAACTACTAATATGTACACTTTAGGTAGTAATGTGTAGCTTTATAGTACTAATATGCACCATTTAGGGGTAATAAGGTACAGCCCCAGTGACAGCTTTTGTATAATTTTTTGCTGAGCAGCATTGTGATGTAATAATATAATATTGATAGTTACATTTTAAAATTTTTATTGTCAGACCTAAAAAAAAATCATGGAAATTGTTACAATCTTAAGTTGTGGGAAAGTAATGGAACTTTCTACTGTATAGTGGATATTTATTTTCCTAGTTTGTGAATGCAGTCCAATCTGCAAAATCTTTAAAAAAATAAAAAACTCTTGTTCTGTAATTACAAATCACTGGAAAAGTCATAAAAAAAAATGGTGGAAATGTGTTTGATTCCAAAGAAAATATTAAAATAAACAGTTTAAGCAGTTTAAGGTTTAATATATATTTTATGTACACTATGTTCAAAAGTTTGGATTTAGTTTTTTAGTTTTTAATTGATACCTTTATTCCACAAGGATGCATTTAATTGACTAAAAGACATTTAAGACATGTATAATGTTACAAAATATTTGTCCTTTTGAACTTTCCATTCATTAAAGAATCCTAAAAAAATCTTTTAAAAAATCACGGTTTCCACAAAAATATAAAGCAGCACAACTGTTTTCAACACTGATAATAAAAAAAAAAGGTTTCTTGAGCATCAAATCAGCATATTAGAATGATTTCTGAAGGAAGTGACACTGAAGACTGGAGTAATGATGCTGAAAAAATGTTGTTTTGTTTTCACAGGATTAAATAACATTTTAAAATGTAATGAAATACAAAACTATTATTTTAAATTGTAATGATATTTTCACCTCTTCTTTTAAAAACAGAAAGAAAAAACCACATTGACCCCTAAATTCTGAACTGTAGTTTAAAAAATGTGTATGCTGTGTATTTTTACTGCTTAAGTATTGGTTTGTTAGCTTAGCAATATGCTACACTGGGAACCCTGACACAAACTCAGACTGGTTTATGACAGTTTTTGTATGTCTTGAGGTTTTCATCGGGTTCCGGCTTGTAATTAATGGAAACATATAGAATGAATGACTATGAAAATTTGAAAGCAGTTGTAAGCAGACATGATCCTTCATGTTTGAGTCAGAGCAACAGTAAGCATTAGCTAAAAGAGACAGCACTGGCTAGCACATAAAGTACAGCCATGTTTACTGGTCACTTTCTGGTTTAATGCCTCACAGACCTCCAGCCAGAAACTGCCAGAGGTCACCCATTGTGGTGTTTGAGTCTATAATCTTTCTGTCAAAAACTTTATTCACTTCACCACACCACTATTGGAATCGTTCTCCATCAGTGCATGTTAAATTGGGAATGATTTTGTCTGAAATCACTGAATGTTTGTGAGTTGTTTTGTTTTCACATGGTTGTGATTCTCAGCAGTTGTCATGCCGTTCATGACTTCAGTCTTCAATCTTTTGTTAGGTACAAATGAGGAT